ATGATATATCCATATTACATTTTATCAGTTACCTAGTGTTCCAAATGAATGAATGAATGAAGCCCAGACTTAAAAAGACTAAACATGAATATCTGAGTGCTCGAGATACGATACTTCACCTGATCACAAACAGGCAAACGTAATGCACCTAAATACCCTGATGGAGATTGGTATGATTAATTAGTAGAACCTTGTAGAAAGAAGACATAATCAATTCGGTGCGTTAAGGTGCACTATAGAATTATTACAAAACCAAGAGTAGTAGAGCAACAATTTGGGACAGGGACCATGGTGAAAGAATTGTTTAAGCAGGGATTTTCAGAAGTAAAATGGTAATCAAGAATCATCTTCATACGTTTATCTCATGTCTGGTCTCTCAGAAATGTGTGATTTGTAATTTAACTGTAATGCAAATCAAAATGTTGCTGACTTGACATAGATGGCTTTTGCTGTTGCTGCCAAATTACGTCAAGTACAAATTAATGAATTTAGCATAGTACAGAATGATTAGTGAGAATGCATACCTGCTTTTCTGGTTAGTGTGATTTTCATTTGCTTTGTGCCGAGAAGAGCTGTCTGAAGGTAAACTCAAAGTTTGTTCTGTTTTCCAGAATATAGATAAATAATCTGAAGTCTGGATAAGGGTTTCTGGTTCATTGCTGAAATATTAAATATCGATATGGTACTGATTTATTGAGTTAAAAAGTACTGTACTACTTTTAATAAGACCATAGTTACTTTTTCATGGCAAGTGGTTGCACTTAAAATAGGTTAGACATATTGGTGCAGTTCGACATGATTAGAGGTGGAAAATCACATCACCTGACATTATCAGGTTACGTATTATCACTGAAAGAACAGGTGTGTATGATTACACAGTGTTCTTTTTGTTGCTGCAATCGAGACCTGTATTATCTGGTACTGCTGAGGAACTAACTCGCTTTCTTCTATGAGCTGAACTGCAGATGAGATTGTATAGGACAGAGAAACTTTGTGAAAGGATTTTAACATTTTTCTCACCATAGTTGTTTTAGAATGTTTTACCTTTTAATCTACAACTTTATGAAGATGCATTTAAAAACACTTTATACAGAACAGGAAACAAATCTTAATCTTACATTAAATATTCATTACATTCAGTAAGTACAGTGAATATAGGATCTTTAATGATTATAGAGACGAACAAAAGCTAGGATCCTACCTGCTTCATTTTCCTCCTTGATGTGGTACAGTACATCTACTTTGTGAAATTCCCCCATACAACATTCCAGTAACCTAACATTAATCATTAATGTCATATTTAAAGAAATAAGAAGAACAGCTGCTTTGTAGTACGGAACCTTTTGTGTGTACAGCATTTGTCCATTTGTATACATAAGTAAAATATATTTCTTCAACACAACATACATGTAATTAAAAATACAATTTTTTTAAAGTAAATGCTATACTTTTTTGTAACACCACTTTGAAGGGCTTCGCTATACAGCTATTAACCAAACAGACAGATGTACTGAAATGGATACAGCAGCTTAAGAGCAGCATTTAAAATCTACTTTATGGAGTAAAACATTTATGCTTTGTCCACTATCCTCACCTCTCCTCATAGACGCAAACCATGAACTACGTAGGGCAGCTGGCGGGCCAGATGTTTGTGCAGGTGAAGGAGCTGTACAGAGGACTAAACCCTGCCACCCTGTCAGGATGCATCGATGTCATCGTGGTGCGGCAGCCAGATGGAAGCCTGCAGTGTTCTCCTTTCCACGTGCGCTTCGGGAAAATGGGGGTGCTGCGGTCAAGGGAGAAATTGGTGAGTTTGCCTGAAGTCCCCTCTTGAGAAGTTTAGATATCCTCTAAAGCTACTAACTGTTATATATCCTTAAGTGGAATCTGTTTCTCACTTCTGCAGTCATGGTTTCAGTCCTTTGGTTTTTTTTCAGTTGATGTCTAGATAATGTCTGGTTTTATGTACATCTCCCGTTAATTGTTTGGAAAGTGGAGGTTGGGTTTCCCATTTTCGTGTTTAATGAATCAAGACTGTATTGTATTGAGTTGATTAGATTATCGTGAAAATGACGAACTGATTTAAAATGCACATTTGTCAATTGTATTAGTGGTGGAGGCGTCTTACACAAATATATTTTCCAGTAATCTTGACATTTTTTAAGTTTTTTTTTTTACTTGTGCAGACGTATGCATAATTGATCTTCTCAATGTTTTGATTAGGTGGACATAGAAATAAATGGGGAACCTGTGAGTTTACACATGAAACTTGGAGAAAATGGGGAAGCCTTCTTTGTGAAAGAGACAGAGAATGATAAGGTAAGTATATGTTAGATTGAAACTATAAAATTATAGATTGCTTGGAGGTGATCTTCATTTGGTCTGAACTGAAGAGAATCTCCTACCATCACAAATTTCAGTAACATGATCTGTATTTACTTGAAACAAAACCAACACGGACATAATAATAGCCAGTGAAACTGTATAACACTAAAGCATCTTTTGCTATCTTTAGAGACTCACCCAAAGGTCAAGGCCAAAGGTCAAGAGCTCACCAGGAAAAGGAAAATGGGAAGTTCCCAGTTAGAAATATTTATAAGAAATGTTTTGTTTTCTTGCACGTATTTTTAGCTCTGATGCATATACAAACAAAAGAACTGTATTTTAATTCCCATGAAGTATAATGAGTTAAAATTTCCTATAGTATTTTTGAACAACTAGGGGAAGATATTAGAATAAATATTAGAATTTCAACAGAACAGAGTTTATAGTGTTTATTCGAAGAGATGCAGAGGTGCACTAGCCAGAGATGTCTGCAAGTTCTTTAAGTTAGGACTGGATTCCATCAAGCTTCAAAATGTAATCTGCATTTTCTAAGAATTTAAAGGTAAAAAATAAGAGTAAGTACAGCATTTCATAAAATGAAAGTTTGAGTTAGTAATTATTTAATCCAAAGATCCCAGCGTGATATTTCTTGAAGGCAGCAAGGATATCAGTTTCATACAGAGTTAGGTGGGTATTTTCATAAGTGCCAATGAAAGGACAGATGTCTGTTGGGCAGCATTCCACTGGCATATCACTGAGCTTTCAGAAGAGCACATGACGCTGCTCTGAGTGAGCAGGGCATTCCTGTGTGGGTATCAAGCTACATAAACATGTCGAATAGGTCGCTCTGCTGCCTACAGGTACTTGTGCGGTATATCTTGTTCCAAGTGATGGGGGAGTTGTAAGAATCCCGCCTTAGCACCGGCACAGTTATTGTCCAGAAACTCTCACCCGTTGCTTTCTGCCGCTATCGGAAGCTGGAATTAAATTAGTGTTCAAAACTCTTTGCAGGTGTTAGTTGTGTTTTGCTATTTTTGTGGAAAGAGCAAGGCGTGTCTGTGAAAACATAAAGCTTGTGTACTTGCTTTTTGGAGATGCTGTTTGCTAACCTAGCTGAAGAGGATAGTCATCACATAAAGCTTTTAATTGTACTTAGTTAGTAGGCAAGGATGGTTAGATGAAATACAGTCTTATTCTTATGGGTGAAGGTGCATGAGTTACTATGTTCAGTGTTTCACTGGTAAAAACACATTACATTTAGTGTATTCCCATGCAATTCTCAGTTTTATATTTGGAATTCATCGGTTGTTTAGTCCTATCATGAACTGGTTTGGAGTGAAATGTTGTGTGATGTCTCGCTGTAAGGATTTGCTACCGCCATTGTTTTGTATCTAATTTCATGTTTCAACAGCTTTTAGTTGTTTAACTTTGTTTGTGATGTTAGTGCTTTATGCCAATCTGATCTATTGTTGCTTTTTATGAGATCTCAAAAACTTATTATCCAGTTATACAAATTATGACATACTGTATCAGAGCCACAGGTGAAGAATTATATGCACTAGCATATAGTTTTCATAATTTTCCTTCAAGGTTTACAGTAAAGTTCCTAATCATGGAACATAGTTTAGTCTACTTTCTGGGAAATATAGCATAAAAAACTATTGGTCTTAAATCACTTTACAGCAGTAAAAAAAAAGGTCTTGAAGAAAGACTTTCAGAAAGCTGCCAGGTCTTGAAAAACACATCAGGTACCTCATCTTCAGTCAAATTGTTAGTCACATTGTCTTGAAACACTCCTAAAATAACTAGTACATTTCTTTCAAAGAAAGCCCTAAAATAAATAAAAATGACATATAAGTTCAAAAGGATCTCTGTCATCAATGTCAAGTTGTCATTTGGTCTTTAGGTTTCCATAGCTCTTTGTGAATTCTAATTACAGCTCTCATCTGTAGCAGCAGACCAGACATTTTTGTTTTATTCTTTTTAAATGTTTCATGATTCACACCAAGTTTAAAAAATAAATGTCATAATGGATGTTTAGGTAAACGTTTACAAAGTTCCTCTAAATTAATCTCTTGCTAAAAAACTTAAATCCCAGTAAATCTTTAAAATTATGTATTACTAATTTATTTTTTATATCACCCTTTAAGAAAAAAAACATTCCTATTCATTTATTTAATGATATTACTTGCTGTTCACTTCATACTATAGATCTCCCTTATAAAATAGGGCTCCCTTATAAAATAGTTGAGATTTTGCTGGTTTCAAAGGTTTGATCCTCCAGAGTCTATCAACGATTGTGTTTTCCTGCAGATCACTGAGGACTTTTTCTGCAGTTTATGATTTAGGCACACATTGTTGGTAAATGTGGCATATCCGAGATTAATATAATAAAACCTGCCTATGTGTTTGGATCCTGTGTTTTGGTAGATCCTATATACATGTTGGAATTAAGCTTTAGAAATATTTTTACTGGATTAAGGGTATAATGTTAGTATTACCCTTTTAAAGTGTAATTTAAAAATGATGATGGGTGTGAACCATAGTAATGTTTTAGTAGGTTATTAGTAATAAATCTCAGGTTTGCCGTCCTTGTTCATAAAAACAAATGTTGGCATTTGTGTTGTTTGTTGGCTTTAATGAGGTTTAGTGTCACTCTGCTGTCTGTCCAGCATTCTGGTAACAGTAAATGAACTCCCTCCTGGCCAGCTACCACTGACTCTCATAATTTGCCACCATGAGACCTTGGATCCCTACTATGAGTTGTACCCAGAGATTGAGAGTTTTGTGGTTTGCTCTCCTCCAGGCCCAATGGTTGCCGTGTTCATTCTGCTGCATTGTGTGGATGGATAAATGTGTTTTTGAAGGTTTTTTCCCCAAGTGCTCTGGCTCTCTCCCAGCTTCCACCTGACCTGCTGTCTGGTAATTGGTAATGGTTATCTCTGCACATGTCCATTGCAGTGGATTATTGTGCATAGAATTAAATCCTTTTCTGCTTAAACATTTTATTTAATTTTCCAAAAACTATTGCTGGGGTGGCATGAACCTTTTTACTGTCAGTGGATCTAGTGGTTGTGAAAAATACCTTGAAATATTGAATATCCCAGACCACATTCAGGCTGTAGCAGAGAATGCACTGAACAGAGATCTCACTGTACTGTCAGTACAAAATTCTATGGAGAGTGATTCTGAGGTTTTCATATATATTTTATTTAATAGAATGGAAGGTTTGAAACATTTTGTCTTGTCTGTAATGACATTGTAATTCCTAAAATCAAGACGACAATTGTTCTCAGATTTTTATAGAATTGGCTGTTGTTCAGTAAGCTTTGTGTCTAATATTAATAGAATTGGCATTTGTAAGGCAAGTCTTTGTGCAGTACAGAATTAATGAGTTTTTCTTACACATATTTTGAAACCCCTGCATGATGCACATCAGTGAGAAACTGCAGTGGGGTTATCTGCAACAGAACATGTTTGGCCCATTTTATAGGCAAAGAACTAGTCAAGCTGTGATAATCTGTGCAAATGAACTTTTATCTATTTCACTTTCAGATCAGTGATGCTTAGTTTTTGCCGTTTGATTCTACAGAATAAACCCTCCATCCATCTGCTGTTTTGAATCAGTAAATCTCTCCTAAAAATAGCACTTCATGATTACAGAGGGTCAGAGTGGGGGCTTTCTACTTTATCTACCTATCCTTTAATTTTATTTCTATTTTGTTTTTATAAATCAGTAGTCCTGACAGTGTATTGAAGGATCTTGTAGTTGTTCCATTTCTGACTTTAATAAAACACATATTCAGTCTTCTCTATTTACAGTATTGTGGGTATTCATGCTACAACCTTTATCATGATTCAGCCTTCAGTACGTTCAGTTTACCCTCAATAAATGTCCTAGATGTGGATTAAAAAATCTTTCAATCACTTTTATGGTAATATAGTGCCTTTCAATCAGAGCTTTCTAAAAGCTTTTATTGTAATATAGTGCCTTTCGATCAGAGCTTTCTAAAAAGCACTTTACATGCATTTTGCTAAAGAAGAACAATGTGCAGAATACAATAATACAAAAATTATTACATTGAAAAATAATCAAGTTAGGAATTGAAGGCCATCAAGAGGCAAGATTTAAAAACATCAGTAGAGGGTGTGTTTTTAATACGGTCAGGAAATGTGTTCCGAAGACAGGAGTCTGCAGCCGAAAAGACTGTCCCTCAGTGTGCAACGTGAAGCCCTTGGAATGTTGAGGAGCCTGGAATCAATGGAATGAACTGAGCAAACCGGGATCTGTGGGAACAGTAACTCTTGAAAGTACACAGGAAACAGGCTGTGTAGTGCCTTGAATTTTAGAGTCAGCCCTCTAAGAAACTGGTAGCCAGGTCAGGTTTCTTGGAACAGGAGAATGTGGTCGAACTCTTTAAGACAGGTTCAGCACTCGATCAGCACAATTCTGGACACACTGTAGTTTCTGAAGTCATTTTGTGGATGATCCACTTGGCAAAGCATTGCAGTAGTCTGTTCTTGAGGAGAGGAAAGCATGAACTCATTACCCTATAAGTTTCCTCCAGTCATGATTTATTATTTGACATAATCAACGCAAAGATTTTTGTTTGATATAAATTAATGGTAGATGGGTACATGCCACTGGTTTTTTAATTGTGGAGTCCAAAATCTCTTTTATTTTAACAATGGCTCAACGATATTTTTTTGAAACATTTGAAATTATATGATTACTTGATATGCTGAAAGATCAGGTTTTAATCATGTGAAACCATTAAAGCTGCACACACCTCATCTTATCTTAGTCTTACAAATAATGTAAGGACATAATTCATGGAAAGACAAACTGAATAACTTTTAATGAACATTAACTGAACATTTTAACATATTGCACAATGAACATTTATGATAAATGTAGAACTTTGAATATTTATCAAATGCAAACTAAATCTAAATGTCTCACATCTTACACATTTTTAATATAAATTATGCTAGAAATAAAAATATACATCTTATGAAAAAAGATCACAGTTTTAAATTGTTTTACAGTAAAAGGCAAGTTGACATTGCCTGAATTACTAACGGAAATAGAAAATAATGTTTCACATCCATTATATTTACGTCCATCCGTTACGTTTGGGTGCAGAAACTGTTTTCCGACAGAGTTTATATCTGACTTCTCTTTGTTCAGTATCCTGTTTGCTGAAGCCAAAATATGACCAAATGATTGAAACTGCATCTTTTTAAGACACCAGCTCGTCTTCATTTGTACTTGAGTCATCCCTGCCTGACTGAGGCTCAGCAGAAGAGCTCAGCTTCAGCTTGAATGAAGATTGGACGAGGCAGAAGGATGTGACTGGATATGACGACTGGGTGTTGTAGTTTTCTAAGTGGACCGTTCATGAAAGCCCACCGTGGGGAAAGCTTTGACCGAACATACCGACATAAGCAAAATTTGGTTGGTGAATGAATATCGCCCAGCCCTAGGTACAGCTCACCAGGTGATTGGTTCAATTGGTGATCAAGAGCATGTTGGTTTACTGCAGTCCAAAGACGTACTGGTTAGTTAATTGGTTTCTGGTGTGTATGTGTGTTTGGGTCAGTGTGTGCCCTGTGATGGAGTGGCGTCCTGTCCAGAGTTTATCCTGCCCTGCACCCATTGCGTGACCCCGAACTGGATGAAAAACAGTATTTAAAAAAAGGTTGAAAAGCAGTAGATGTACAGTAGTACTGGCAACCCACTGTACTGGCAACCCACTGAAGCTAAGCAGGTATGAGCCTGGTCAGTACCTGGATGGGAGAACTCCTGGGAAAAACTAAGGTTGCTGCTGGAAGAGGTGTTAGTGGGGCCAGCAGGGGGTGCTCACCCTGTGGTCCATGTGGGTCCTGTGGGTCCTAATGCCCCAGTATAGTAATGGGGACACTATACTGTAAAAAGGCGCCGTCTATCGGATGAGACCTGACTCTCTGTGGTCATTAAAAATCCCAGGGCGTTTCTCGAAAAGAGGAGGGGTGTAACCCTGGCGTCCTGGCCAAATTTCCCATTGGCCCTTACCAATCATGGCCTCCTAATAATCCCCCTCTATGAATTGGCTTCATGACTCTGCTCTCCTCCCCACTGATAGCTGATGTGTGGTGAGCGTTCTGGTGCACTATGGCTGCCGTCGCATCATCCAGGTGGAAGCTGTACATTGGTGGTGGTGGAGGGAATCCCCATTACCTGTAAAGTGCTTTGAGTGGAGTGTCCAGAAAAGCACTATATAAGTGTAATACTACTAATAATAATTATTATTGATTATTATTATTAGTAGTAGCCCTCAAGGACTTGAGCAGTGGGTCCCTTTTCTAAGACCTATACTGGACTTATCAGTCCTCTCTTGTTATTCCCGAAGGAAGTGGTACCCTCATACCTGGCTACCTCTCCTATCTTGTCGGACGGAGCTGCGCTGATGGAAGCACAGCTGGGAAGTGTCTCAGCCAGGGGTTCGGAACTGGGATGTCCCGGTCAGACTGGGACCTCCTCCACAGCCGCTCAGTCTGGAGCCGAAAACCCAAACTGCTCTGTGAAGAAAAGACGGAAAAGACGTCGAAAGTCCCGGGTGGACAGTGTCAAGAGAGAGGACAGTGGAGATTATTCTGAAGATGAAGATATGTTCCCTATTGACATGAGCTCCGATGATGAGACTGAGCTGGCTGACAGCACCAGGTAAGCTGGAAAACAGTTATAGTTTCGATATTAAGAGCATAAAGTAATATCTGCATAGGACTTCTGCTTCATTGGGTAGGGAAAGAGCATTTCAATATCTGTATACATTATAAGGACTGATCTATACAGTGAATAAATTGTTTTTAGACATATTTTAAACAGGAAACCTATGTAAAAAATCCTGTTCATCCTTACACATACTTCTCTTCCAGCTGTTTCAGATTGTTGAATCACTAAATATAGTATACACAACAGCGAATACTTCACAACACAATGTTTATACTGTATTTGTTTGACAACAAAACTGAAAAAGTGGCCATAAGTGCTTTTAAGTGTATAAATGCTGACATTGTACAGTATACTTAAAGCGCCAACTGGAACAGTTCCACAAACTTGATTTTTGAAATCCTAAAAGGGCGTGTGTTTTCGTTTGGTGAAAGTGACATAACCGAGGCTCTGCTTCGGTTTAAAATCTCTGAATTCAGAAGTTTAATCTTTTAAACCTTTGATGACTTCCTGTGGTTTAATTCTGTTTTTTTTTTCAGGATGGCATCACGTGAAATCTACAGTGATGAGGTACCGATGGGAAAGCCCATTGGCAACAACTTGAAGCAAAGCATTATGTACGCGTGTTCAGATGGAGAATGGTCACCTGTTCAAAGGTAAATGGAAAGAAGAAAGCTTTAATTCTGATTAGGTTCAGCACTAGATTTTCAGATGAAAAATCTTTCAAAAACATTTTTCTTGTGGAATCCTAAATTTTAAATTTATTAAACCACAGACCATGTTACCACCAAGCTAAATGTATCATTTGTTTACCGAGCCAATCCTTTACGTTTGAATCTAGACTCCTTTTGATGCATATTGTAAAATAAGAAAAGTTGGACACATTTTGTGTGAATTATTCCAAATTGTTCCTGTTCATAAATTGACTTTCATATGTTTTAGAAAGCTGGCATATACATACAGTATGTATTGGAGTCAAAGCTAACTGTATCAGATAGTGTTGACATTCTGACATGAAATGTGAACTACAGTTAGTCTCACACATCATTAATCTAAACTACATGAACATTGCAAGTCTCTTGTATTTGTACTATGTGAATCCTCTCAGTAGCTAAAATTTAAAATATTAGCTTGTGGTCATATCCCTGAAGTACAAGTGTGATAACTTTAATGCAGCTTAGTGCTTTGAAACTCACTGAAGTGGTGAACATACAGTAGATCAACATACAGTAGCTTCACATACCGTCACATTGTCTCCTTGTGGCCTCATAATGCTTATTTTACTTTCTGCGCCTTCACCGTCCTTTACTGCCCAATAAATGTGCTTTTGGCAGACCAGATGTCTTAAAACAGGCCAAGTGGAATATAGTTTTTTATATAAAGAATCATTGTACTGTCAAAATAGAAAACAAAAGACAGAACACTCACAACATGAAATAAAAAGTTGACATGTAACTTTTTTCTTCCAATGTGCTGTCACACTATAGCCCGACGATAGGGCACAAAGGCCTGTTCTACACTCTACCAATCCCTGCAAGCAGTGGCTTGTCTGTCTCTTGCCCACAGCAATCTTCTCTCTTCCAGCCTTCAGACAGGTATAAGACTGATTCATCTTATTGTCCCATTCCATGCCCTCTCCTAATTCAGTTGTTATACTACTACTAACAAATTTTAAACTACGGATAAATTAATTGGTGGTTCATCACACAGTTTTGTAAAAATGGTAATTTAATGTTGTTGTTTTTTACCCATTAAGTAACTGTTTAAGAAAACTGAGGTGTATATTTCAAAGAGAAACTTAATATTTTTCCAGTTCCCTTCATACAAATCCCTGTTTGAACTATCTATGATGGTCACAAGTCCTTCCTCAAATCCTTCCATAGTAACCTGACATGCACTATAGGTACAGTTCGAATATAATTATTCTCCCATTAAAACACCCCGTGTATAACGGCCATCCTTCTGGCTTTCATTACAGGTTGCACTTTAACTCACAACTGGACTTATATTTTGTTGCAGGAAACATTTTAACTGCTTGTGAACGACTTAAAAAAGTTACAGATTTCAAGTTATAAAACTCTAAAACAGTGGGAGACTACAGGTTACCCATAGAGTTCATGATGGTGTTATTAGGGAAGCTGTTAGTTTAAGTGTTCAATTAAATGGCAGGGAGCTGACAACACTAATGAAAGTCTCCCAGTAGTTTGTTTATTGAAATCGTCGTGTCCCTAGATTGTGAATGAACCATTTCTGAATTTAAAAAAACTATTTTTTTGTTCCCCGTTAGGCTGAAGCAAGCTACAAATACCCATTGGAATAAAACGAATCTATTAGTCTTACATAAAACAGACAGGAGGTGGTTTTGAACTACTGTATATAGGTCACATAAAATTAGAGCAAATAATGTTATAGAGTAAAACCTCGATATTCATAAGTTGTCCATTCATGCAAAATTATCAGTGACCACTTTTGTGGCATTCACAGAACGAAATCACATCTTGTTTGCTGTGCAGCAGGAGCCTAAATGCGGTCATGCATTTTGCATATCTTCATCTAGCGGATCTACTTCACCTTCATCTCTCAGTGAAGACATACTGTAGCTTGGTTAACAAAGAGTTAACATGTTTATGTAGAAGTGCATCATGGGCTGTGGATGAGTTACTCAGTTTCTATCAGGAGAGCGTTAGATGTACAGTATGTTATGTGTAAACTTGTCAGAATAATGCCTGTGTGTGCTGTGCAATAAAAGAAATGTTAAATAACAAAAGCTCCTTGGTCTCCTGAGATATGAAAGTCTCAGTTCTTGCAAGTCTTGTGGAAAAACTGCAGGAGAGAGAGAGAGTTGAGTGAGCACCCTTAATTTATATTCTTGTCTGTTATTACTTTATTGCTTTAATAAACTTCATTACAGTATAGTGGTACCACATTTACTGTACAATAATAACAAAAAACAAGATCTAAATAGTAAAGAAAATGCACTCTGCTTAGAATGAAAAAAAGAACTATAATATAGGTAAGCCATAATATTATAACAGCAATTTAATTTTTCTGTTTAACAATGAATTAATCAATCAAATAAATTATTTGTTTTAAGTTAATGATCTTCATTATATATACTGACTACCAATAAATAATAACACAAGTTCTGAAGTAGTTAAGAGTTGTCATAAAAATATGAATATGAAAATGCAAGTCACGGAATGATAACCTGTTTTTCCAGTAAGGTTTTAAGTCCCACATTCGCAAGATCGCAATTTGCAGAGACTTCGAAGTAACTAACACCCAAGAAAATTAAGGTTTTATTGTATTTTATGAAACCTGATATACAAACTGGAATTTGCTATCCATTTTCTCTCTGCTTCACCAAATACAGGGTCCCGGGGGAGGGGAGGATATGCCCTGGACAGGATGCCAGTCCATCACAGGGGCACACACAGACACAGACAGGCACACTCTCACACCAGGGCTAGTTTTCCAAGAAACATATTAACTTACAACTGTTTTTGGACTGTGGGAATAAACTGGAGCACCTGAACAAAATCCGCACAAATACAGGGAGAATATACAAACTCTATAGATAGCAACCCAGATGTGGAATCAAACCCAGGATCCCAGAACTGAGAGGCAGCAGTGCTAATGTCTATACTGCCCTGGATTCTACTAATAAAGCCAATATTCTTTTCAATGTCCCATGTTTGGTTTAGGAATTAATATTATATCCCCTGTGTTAAATTAAACATAAAATGACAGCTCTGATCTTTTTAACCACCTTAATTGTTAATTAAGTGGAACAGTGTCAGGTACATCGTGTTCCCATTACTGCGTACCTGACAGTGTTTTTTTTTCTCATCTCTAGCCCAGGAGGATCAAGGCCTTCAACACCGAAGAGCGACTCTGAGCTGGTCACTAAAGTCTCTGACAAAGCTAAGCAGGACAACCCACAAATGCTGTGGGCCTGGGGGGAGCTACCACAGGCTGCAAAGGTACAGAAGTTTTCTGCTTCAGGAATGTTTATCTCCCTTTTTTAATTTGATATTATAGTACAGTATATGTAAAGTCACATAAGAGATTTGCTGCAGAACAAATGAGCTTTTTTCAGTGATGTCTTCCTTTTGGCCAGGCTTATTTTTACATTTTAAAATTTAATTGCTCTTTTGTGTGTAGTTGCCATGGTACATGAATAATCAATAGATTTACACAGTGTTAATGAAGATGCTTTTGTGTAAAAAAAGTGTGAGCAAAGTTATTAGTTTGGGGGCTTTTGGATTATGGAATTATTTCGAGAATATAGGAAGGATCTCATCCAGCCGTTTCTTATATTGGGTAGTTTGTTCCACACAACCTTGTTACCCATAACCCTTTGGATAACATGCAAAATCTGTCCTTGTCTAACTAAATATCATCTGCCATGTGTTTTCTGTCTTGAATCTTATCTAAATTTGAATTTAATTTGCTGCTAATACAGTGCTAATGTTCTCCTTTGCTTATCCTACTAATTTAGTAATACCTACAAACACGACTAGTTCACTAGCTATTCTAGAATCTAGATCAATTACAGTATATAAATTAGGAAGAGCAATGATTCTAGAACAGGTCCCTGCAGAACTCCACTGATTAAATCACCCAGTTTAGTATTTGAATATCCTTTATCTGTACCCTCTGTTTTATGTTTATTAACCAATTGTAATCTTTCCCCAAATGCTTATTGCAATCTTAGAATTAATCATTTATGAGGAACTTTATCAAAAGGCATCTGAAAATCTGATGCCCTATATTTGTCCATTACTGTTGTTGCTTTTATTCAAAGAACCATAAGATGTTGGTTAGGCAAGACCTACTTTCTTAGAATTTTTATTTCTGTATCAGTGAGCTTCTGGTTAAGTTCTTATTGTTTTCATAAATCTACTTGAAATCAATGCTTCTTTTTATACAGTTTTTTTTAAAGGCATACATATGTTTTCTTTCACTTCTTTTGTATTATTGCAGCCTTCATTTCTGTCGCAGTCTGAGCAGTCCGTTCTGGTAAACATCCCAGTTTCGGAAAGCACCCATTTCAGGGTGATTTCTGGCGACTCCCCCACCGAGGCTCACGAAGACTGCCCCCCCTCACCTCTCCCGCTGGAGGCAGCCGCCTCCGAGAGCGAGGCTGCGGCCGAGGCGGAGATGGAGGCCGGCGTCAGGCCGGCAGGGGAAACTCCCCGGCCGCTGGCCGAGAGCGAGGAGCCCTACCCCCCCGCAGGGCAGCCCCGGCCAGCCAGTAAAACCGACTCCCCCTCCAAGAGGAAAGGTACGGAAAACACAGCGTGCCTCCAGATCTGTCTGCAGAAGCTTCTTTTAAGAAGATCTTTCAAGTGATCTGTCCTGTCATTATTGAAACGGACAGCTTTATGTGCATGATATAGCCCAATTACAACGTCATCTCGGGAACTCTCAGAAACAAAAAGAACGAACTGCAGGAGCTCTCTGGGCTCTGGGATTGAAAAGCATGTTAATGTGTTTTCTACTTAAGTGAAAATGGAAGAACATCATGTCTCTTAGAGAATGAAACCCAGCTTATATTATATTATTTTTCTTCTTTAAGTGATCCTAAAATGTAGTTTTTGTTCCTTGAGAGTGCTACAGCTCTTTCCAAAGTTCCAAATGGCAGTTCTATTTATCCAGTGTATCTGTCTATTGTTATTGATCATTACTGATGTTTTTTTTTTTAGATAAGAGAAGTCGGCATCTCGGAGCTGACGGTGTTTACTTGGATGACATTACAGAGTTGGAACCTGAAGTGGCAGCTCTGTACTTCCCCAAGAGGTAAGTACTGTAACCATGTTGAGTAGGTGTAATATACAGAAAATGTCTGGTCAAGCATTGCATAGCAAGAACAATTATTTTTAACCTATTCTGATTAGTTATAATTTCTGTTAACAAAGTAGATGGATTTGGGGACCATCAAAATTGTCATTCCATTTTGGCAAATTCTGATTGAACGTTCCAAGTCAAGAAAATCATAATTCCAAACATTTCCAAAAACTCTCAGACTGATTATAGGATTGAATTTCTTAATAGTAGAAGGCTTTTGCAAAAAAAAATGTAGCTTAATATTTTCTGGGGTAATGCAATAATTTCTTTTGCATGCAACCAGTAAGTCTTAAGGTGTTCAGTCCAGTCCAGTTAAATTTGCAAATAGAGTACCTGAAGAATTGACACTAAGAAACTACATGTTCTGAAGTCTGTTGCTAATTTTTTTTAAGAACTTTATAACAATGCTTCGTTGTTGCTTCTTGCAGCGATGCCAGTGGGCCTGGTAGGAGCAGCTCAGAGAATGGAGCCAGATCTGCCAACCAGTCCCCACAGTCTGTGGGCAGTTCAGGGATGGATAGCGGAGTGGACAGCTTCTCTGATCAAATAGGCGATCTGCCCTCCATTGCCATCTCCCTCTGTGGAGGGCTGACTGATAACAAGGAGATAACAAAGGGTACAAGACTGTGTAGTGTTTCCTCAGCTCCAGCTGCTGTATGAAGGAATTAAGTATGTTAGTAGGCTGATGTTCAATTTTGTTTTTAAGTTTGTGGTGACAGAGGAAGTCACTTTGACAGCTTAGTATTCTTTCTACTGAATAGTCTTCTATAGGAGTATGTATTTTATTATCAAATACTAATAAGACTTGCATGTGTATCTTTTTAAAAATCCTGATATTCTTTAATTATGTTTTTTGAAAGGTTCATAGGATCCTGGTTGTAAATTCAATCACATACAGTAGGGTTGTGTGTCTGTATGATTCGTTGTACATTTTTTTATAATGTTCCCTTTTAGAAACTAAAATTCATAGTTATGGTTAAAATACAAACTGTAATAAACATGTCAAATAAACTGTTTTACAGCATTCCGATGGCAGAGGATTGTATATACACTAATTTAAGTACTTGGGTTTTTGGACTTTTCATTGTAGAACAATTTCAAGAAAAAGAAGTATCTTACCAACAGTTTGCTGACAATCCAGCTATCATTGATGATCCACACCTCGTAGTGAAGATTGGAAACAAGTAAGTGAGAACATCCAAAGAGTCTTCAAGTTTTTAATTCTCAAATCTTTCATTAAATATATACAGTATGAGCAATTAAATTATATCATATTCAAGTAACTTGCTACAATTCAAATCAATGACTAAAACGTGGTATATGCACATATAACGCCACAGTGCACAAATGATCTAAACTTTATGCTCTCTGTCTATGAACAAATTTAAAACTTACATATATTAGTAATGTATAGCTTTTATGGTGGTGCTGATGTCTAGCTGATCATGGCCTGCTGTGGACCATAGCGAAAAATGCTTAATGTATTAATTAAGTACTAATTAAACAGAGAATACTTGCAATTCTTTTAGGTATTACAACTGGACTACAGCGGCTCCAATTATGCTGGCAATGCAGGCTTTCCAGAAACCACTGCCGAAGGTGAGCCAACATGAATCAAAGAACTGCAAAATAGTATGTTGTATATTGACTCTCGTTACTTTTTGTCAGTCTTTCGCTGTGAAAGTAACTTAGAAAGACCAGCAATGTTTCTTTGTTGTGTGATCACACTGTTATCTGTCCTTTTAATAACCCCGTCTCTGTTTTGTGTTGACTAATTCTGTGGTTAGATTCTTTTTGGAAACTATGGGCCCATTCTGTTGTGGTATGAGCAGTTATGCATTCTGTTGCAAAATAATGGTGTCAGTGAGGGAGACTCGGTTTCCCTCATTGGAAACAAATGGGAATATTTTAAAATACTACCTTTTCAACAAGATATAATCTGTGGTGTTACCACCTATAGAATTAAGTATAAGTAATAACAATTAATAAGTAGAGGGGAGGAAAAAACGTAATCAACATTAGTTTTCTGAAAGTCACTATATTGATCCTGCAAAGGTAAAATTAGTTTGTTGAATCTTGATGTTGTACTTCAATTTATGTAGGTATGACATCAAGTATGTGCATTTTCTCAAAATTTGACTATACCCTGAAAGATAAAGTAAACTCATTTTCCCCTTCTGTTTTCTCTGTTTTTTTTTTCTTCCATTTTTTCTTTAAATGTGGCCCAAGAATTCATGCTTTAGTTATGTCTCATCTGCTTTGGACTTCCTCTCATTCTGTTTCCCCAAGATCTTTGGGGCAAGCCCTGTACGTTTAACCTTTTTATTTTGCTGCTCTGTATCTAAATGTGGCCTTTTCCAGAAGTGTTTTTTAGTTTTTCTTTCTCATTGTGTTTTGAGTTCCGTTAGTTATTTTGTTCATTTGCTCTAGACTGCTGTGGAGAACATCATGAAGGAAAAGATGCCAAAGAAAGGTGGAAGGTGGTGGTTCTCTTGGCGTGGGAGGAACAGCAGTGTCAAAGTGGTACGACCCTGAGCCGCGCACAGCCCACACAGACAGCTGTCCGAAGAGAGCCGGAACTTGGCACTCTTCAAGCATGAACTCCCAAGTGTTTCTGAAACGTCCCATTGTTACAAACATACTGTACTCGATCCTTGTAGTGCAAACTGATCGAGGCCTGGCAAACATTAAGTGTTTCAATACGGTATAAAATATTTTTGTTCAGTTAGGTTCTATTAGTATCGTATAAATAATACCTTGTGTAATTCTGACACAACACAAAAATAGTTGTGGATGAAGCACAAAGTTTCTGTGGTTTGCAGTACACATAGATCATTCGTAACTGGCAGAATTACACTTGTAAAACCAATCAGTGCTCTGTAAACGAAGCTAAGATGCAGTCCTATTATTATTATTATAAGCTTTTCTCATTTAAATATAAAGAGGATGGGCATTTTAAAAGACTGTAATAAAAATATTTAAAGATCAGCTGCTCATTCCCCCTTTTAGACTGTGTATTTTAATAAAATATACTTTATTTTAATAGGAATCCAATTCAGAACAAGGAGCAAATCTGAAAGGAGAAGAGGCTGGAAAAATGGCTTCTGTCAGCAGGTACTACTAAACATTTACAAGTGAAGTCTTCATTTCAGATGCTATTTTTTGAACAAATTAATTCAAATTAGCTTTAATTTGCATAACAAGGGTCTTATCATAGTAAAGGTACAGTCATGCTTGAAAGTTTGTGAATCCATTGCATAATGTGAGATTTTTTGTTTTTTTAACCACAAAATGCATATTTAATCAGAATTTCTCACTTCCAAATTGAAATAAAGTATAATTATTCACCACTTTGAGTGTTGTGAAAGAAAATGTCCATGCAGCAAAATAATACCCACAGTATACAGAAATTGTGGAGGTACAAAAATAAGTGAACCCTTAGTTCTATGACTTGCATCAGGGTAGAGCAGGATCAGGTGGGTCGATGACAGAGTGTTAACCAATTAACTGAGATAACCAATGAAATTGAAGATCTGAAATACTATGTTAGGGGGGAGCAAACATAAATAAATGCAATAATGCAGGTCAGTTACTCTTCCTACAAGTCTAGCATCATGCCTCGAACTAAGGAAACATCGGCAGAACTGAGGAAAAAAGTAGTGGATGCCCATCAACCTGGACAAGGTTATAAAGCCATTTCAAAAAGATTTGGGCTCCCTAAATCCACTGTTAGGCAAACAGTATACAAGTGGAGGGCATTTAAAACAATGGCAACCCTGCCAAGAAGTGCACGTCCTCCTAAAATTTCACCCAGGGCCACAAGGAGAATAATAAAAGAGGTAAAAGGTAATCCTAAAACAACATCCAGAGATCTACAAACCTCCCCAGCTGCCTCTGGAGTAGTAGTGCAATAAGAATGAATCAACAATAAGAAGAACCCTGAACAGAAATGCCATCTATGCAAGGGTCGCCAGTAAGAATCCTCTTCTGTCAAAAAAGAACTAAGCCACCCATCTGAAGCTTGCCAGAGACCACCTGGACAAGCCTGAAGAGTTCTGGAAGTGGACAGATGAGTCCAAAATTGAACTATCTGGGCACAACAAGAGGGTCCCTGTTTGGGGAAGAGCCAACACAGCCTACCACCAACATAAACCTTATTCCTACTGTCAAGCACGGTGGTGGGAGTGTCCTTGTAAGGGGCTGTTTTTCTTACTCTGGCCCTGTGCAACTTGACATCATTGAGGAAGGGAATCAGGAATTCTGAGAAATATCAAGGGCTTCTTGAGAAGAATGTCAAGCCATCCGTTCGAAAACTCAAGCTGGGCACAAAGTGGATGTTTCAACAAGACAACGATCTAAAACATTCAAGTAAGTCCACTAAAGAATGGCTTAGGAAGAAGAGGTTCCATGTCCTGGAATGGCCAAGCCAAAGCCCTGACCTGAATCCTATTGAAATGCTGTGGCAGGACCTGAAGAGGGCTGTTCATGCAAGACATCATTTTGCAAGACATGGAGGAAAAATCCCTCCAGCAAGATGTCGGAGAATGATGATTGGTTATAGGAGGTCTGTGTGAAGTAAGTGCTGCTAAAGGAGGTGGCAGAAGTTATTGGCTGAAAAGGTTTCATTTACTTTTGCACACAAGAATATCTGGAGATTTGTTAAATATCACAGTCTAATAATCTATGAGTTCAAATCCCTTTTTATGTGTGGGAAGTCTTAATGAATATAGAGAATGAATATTCTAAATAAAGAGTTCAGGTTCATATAATATCTAAAATAATGACCACCTTGAAGGGCTCACAAGCTTCCAAGCATGACTGCATGGTGGAAGAAATACTGTAGTGAGATTCCTAACATGTATTTGAATCATGACGCACAGAAAGTATTCATCCCAGTCAGAAATGACCCTTGAAATTAATTGCCAAACAGAAGGCTTTCTAAGATGATGCCCTTATAGATGGTATTATCCTTTACAGTACTCTCTCCAAAGATCTTGAATGGCCTAGATTTGATTAGATTAGATATCTCAACGAAGACTAAGTGCCCACTTGGCTGGTGCTGTCGTTGTTATTGTTGCCTCAGCTCAGGCTTCTGTGTTGAATTTGTGATGCAGGCTGAAGGATGAATCCTCTTCTAGTGATGAGGACCACAGGACAGCTGAACAGAGCTCTGCTGCTACACAGCAGGATTCTGTATCGCTGTCATCCACGGGGGTTTCATACAAGAAGACTCTCAGGCTCACATCTGAACAGCTGGTGAGTGACCCAGTTGGCACAAAATTTCAGTATATCATCTTTCATTGAGTCTTTATATAATTATATCTCATGAGTGTGTTCTCATTAACTTTACCATAAATAGGATCAACAGGTTTTACTAAAAAAACCATATTATACACACCGGAAGAAGGCTCCAGAGCCGAAGCGTTGTATTTCTTTTAAGCATGGAATAAACCCGTTACCTGTTCCTTATATACAGTACAGTATGTTGTGTCTGTATATACAGTATGTATGCCTGTATATTAGTTTTATTTTTAAAAAAGCAATCCGATTTTATCAAGAGGCAATGCAGTTTGATAGAACTGTTCTTTTTGATTACAAAAAATGATTCCACATTCCATGAAAAATGTAAACTCACACTGAAGTGCACATCACACAAATATTTAACCATTTATTCTGAAGCTATTGTACTTTTTATGTTGAAACCTGTACACAAAGAATCTTGTTTGACCCTTTTTGACACCTGGTGGAGACTTCAGGTTGTAGCGGCTGATGGGAATTTAGACCCCATGCTATGTTGTGAACAACAGTGGAAAAACCCCTCCTTACAGTCCCCACTGTTCAATACTGTAGGTCAGCCTCCAGCTGAAAGATGGACCCAATGATGTTGTCTTCAGTGTGACTACACAGTACCAGGGCACTTGTCGCTGTGAGGGAACCATATACCTGTGGAGCTGGAATGATAAAATAGTCATCTCTGACATTGATGGCACCATCACAAGGTTTGAGAGCTAAAAGCCTGAAGCTTTATCACTTGCACTTAACTCAGTTACTAAAACTCGGTTACACTTTTATATTATACAAAATCTGTAATTTTGCATTTGATGCCTTTCCCTGTTTCTCACAATGTGTGAGGAGTAACCTATTCATTTTTTATTTGTATTTTCTTGTATCTTTTCTAACTGATCGCACTTTTGTCATGATATCATGCAAATTAAGTGAAGGAAGAGAGTCAATATTTATATTACCCAGATTTGGACAGAAGATCATTTAATTTCTGTTGATGTGCACAGAAGACATTTTATTAAAAGAATCTCGAGAGAAATCGGTCATCAGTGGAACACTGTGTTTGATATACCTTTTCTTAGATACTAATCCGTAGGTTTAGTGCTGCTACCCAAATTGTCTTTTGATTGTTTACTTACTGAAGACAAAGTTATGTACTGCACCCTGCTGGCCGAAATGTTTTATTGCAATGTATCGAGTAGTTTTACAGTATACACAACCAAAAGACTAATAATACAGAAGCATGTCAAATTTCCAAGAGTCAACAAAGTTTTTCACAATTTATTAGGGCCTAATTGCACTTGTATAATACAGTTTTTTAAAATAACTTTCAGTAAAGTCCTTATGACTGACACTTCATGAGGTGTCTAACTAGAGGTGTTTAAAACCTGCTAGTGTGCTGCTTTTGCTCACAGTTCTGCTCACAGTAAGTAGACGTACATACATGTATAGGAGACTTTATAGTTATACAAGCATGAGTTCTTCTGCTTACAAATGCTAGATACTGAAACTACTGCTTGTGATTAGTGCTTTAGAATAGTGGCCACTCTACTGACAACAGAAGTTATAATTTTTAAATTAAAGTTATAATCTTATAATTTTCTCCTGTAATAAAGTTTTCAATTTCTTTTCAGGTCTGACACCCTGGGTCATATTTTACCCACCCTTGGCAAAGACTGGACTCATCAAGGCATTGCCAGGCTGTACCATAAAGTCAGCCAGTAAGTACAGAGGAAAAACCTCAGCTTGTCTCCTGGGAAGAGCAAGACAACCGATAGACTCACCTGCAGTACATGAACTTCCTCTCAAGCACTGTGTACGATGTACCACGAAATACCCCACGGGTTTTGAATGGCTGCATCTGTACGAGGACACCTCTGCATTAACCACAGTTCAACTTCACCCGAAGCAGTCAGTCAGACCAAAGCATCCTGTTGACTCACTTTGCATGTTTAACATAAAGCTTGCATTCCCCAACCTTTTAAAAGATTTTTTTAAACCTTTTCAAAATTTTTAAAGGTTCATTGTCTTAGGGTATAGTGGATATAGGATATACTGCATTTTCTCAACAAAAGAAAAACTAGTCACCTCTTAGCTAAATACCAAAATGTGTATGTTACTTTTGAAATCTAATTCTGTTGTGTAATTAAGACAAAAAAAAGGTAGAAGGGTGGCATAGTGGTAAATGTCTTATGAGCATATCATATGGTTGTTTGCAGTGCCTTGTGATGTTTTCCAGAAATGGCTATAAATTCCTGTATTGCTCAGCCCGAGCAATTGGAATGGCGGGCATGACAAGGGGCTATCTGCACTGGGTGAATGAGAGGGGCACCATGCTGCCTCAGGGCCCTGTACTGTTGAGTCCAAGCAGCTTGTTCTCAGCTTTGCACAGGCAAGTATTTCATCTCCAGCAATACCCTTTGCACCCCACCCACCGAAACACCATAACCTGTCATTTTCCACTACAATACAATGGACACTGTCTTTCCAAACTGTGTGAGGACACAGTTTATACACCGTGTTTAATATTCCTGCCATGGTTGACAACATACAGTGGATTCTATCTACAGGAGTCAGAAGTCATTATTAAGACGATTAGCCTTGACACAAATATATGCAGCAAGCGCTGGCTAGTTTGTTATGCCTTAAAAAAAGATTGCAGTTATACTATGTATAGTTTACTCTTTTCACAGTTTTCAGTGATGTAACTGTTTCTTTCTTAAAATCATTACAGGGAAGTGATTGAAAAGAAGCCAGAGAAGTTCAAAATAGAGTGTCTCACAGACATAAAAAACTTGTTTTATCCGAACACTCAGCCATTTTATGCCGCTTTTGGGAACAGAGCAACGGTAGGTACAGTAGGAGCCAACAGGACTTCTGGTGCTGGTCCCTAATTGTATTTTGAAGATTAGATTTTAGAATTCATTAATTTAAATGTTTTTAATATTTTTAATATTACATTACATTTAATATGGAACAAGTAATAGGTTTATTCCATGCTGAAAAGAGAAGAAAGAAAACAAAAAGTTTCTTTTCTTTTCTTCTTCGGGTGTAAGAAAGATAGGGCAGTCAGCAAAGATAATATAGCACGGGAAAACAAAGGCCAGGAGAGAGGAGAGGAGGCAGGAGCAGGGGGGAGGGAGAGTGGCCAATCTGCAATTTGCACCACTTGATTGGCCACTCTGCCTCTCCCCTCACCCGAAGAAGGCTCCACAGCCGAAACGTTGTGTTTTCTTTATTCTCTTTTCAGCATGGAATAAACCTATTACTTGTTCCTTTGCAGCTTCCGCATGCTGACGCAGCTACCCCCCTGAACTACTTAAATTTAATATTACTTGCTGCTGTTTTGAAGTGTTTGTAACACACAATGTAGCATATTGCATTCTCAGAATTTTGAATTTGCCATTTTCCTAATACAGTATATCACTTAGAATCATGCCCATTGTTATGGGTAATAGTTATAATGAACCACTGAATACAAACAAAGGCTCTGTTTTGGAGGGATGCAATAAGGCAGGACACAGATGGAGCTATGCAGTGTTTATTAAGCTCAGGTTTGGTTTTATGTACTCAACAGAAAAATTGATCAACTATTTAATACACTTCAGAGATGTCAAGTGGATGTAAAGGATCTAAACGACATGCAATATTTTTAATGTCTGAGAAAGAAGGTTAGATTTCTATTATTTCTAAGTCAGTTTTTTTTGGGAGATCATTCTGAACATTTTGGTCCCATTCGTCCGATGACAAAAGAGTTTTAAAACTAACTTTCTGCATGACAAGTGATGGAATGAGTTGGGATTCTGTGTGTTGTTGTATTGATAATATCACATCGAAGTATGTACTGCATAGTGGTCACTGGCTATCAGGGCAGTAAGCCATGGTTTTAGTGTTTGTAAATGTACACATGTAATACACTGTATAGCTGACTGTGGAGAGTGTTTACAAATTCTCCAAATGGCCACATATTCCGCAGAGCAAAATACTTTGTTTTGCCAAATCAACAATATAAAAAGACTTTTATAATATCAATGCTCTTAACATTATTGTTCATGACATATTTTTGTAGGATGTATACTCCTATAAGGAAGTGGGAGTTCCTCTAAACAGAATCTTTACAGTCAATCCCAAAGGTGAACTAATACAAGAGCATGCAAAGACCAACATCTCATCGTAAGTTCAATCCTTTTCTGTTCTTTCATCTTTTTGTCTCTGAAAAAGCTGCCTTAAACCTTAAATGATAGTGAATGTCATGGTACTTCAGATATACACGACCCTGTTTGGTAGAACTTGAGCATCTTGTCATCTTTGTCATTCTTTAGTCATGTTTTATCTCACCAAACATTGTATAAACATATGCTATGGACATACATTTGTATCTTTCCAAGTGTTTTAATTCATAATGATGTTATTTCTTTTGTTTTTAGTAATACTAAGAGTCATTATATAAAATTTAAAACATACTGTAGGTGTTAAAATCTTACATTTCAGTAATATTTGAAAACAAGTTACAAACTGTGAGATATTACAACCACAACAGATACTGTTGTACATTATTTGTCTAAGAACACTCTCAATATTAATTTACCTCTTGATTTTTCTTATTAGAATCAAAATAAATCTTTATACACAGAAAAACCCAACACCTGAAGAAAGATCCACAACCAAAACGTGTTTTTTTTTTTCTCTTTTCAGCATGGAATAAACCTTTACTTGTTCCAAAAAAAGACTGCTTTCAATTTCAGATTTTTTCTACATGCTAAATTCAAAATAGGTTGGTTTACATACATTTTCAAATGTAGTGCCTGCATGTAACAGTAACAAAGGAACAAGTAAAGGTTAATTCCATGCTGAAAAGTGAAGAAAAGAAACACGTTTCAGCTGTGGAGCCTTCTTCCTCTTCTGAAGAAGGCTCCACAGTTGAAACATTGTGTTTCTTTCCTTCGTTTGTCAGGGTGGAATAAACCTTTACTTGTCCCTTTGCAGCCTACACATGCTGACGCAGCTACTTGAAGAATTGTAACAATACTGTGAATTTTTATTTTGTGCTCAAAACACATTTTGAACCTTTGATCATGAATGAGGTTTAAAAAACAACAAAGTTATTTGGTCTGGATTTGTTCGATCCCCTTTGGGTAGAGACAAATATTCTGCAATTCATCATTCCTACTGTATGTGACACCCCAGATACAAATCCAAAATAAATCCCACACTCCCAATCATTTTGTTTCCAGATACGTGAGGCTGTGTGAGGTGGTGGACCATGTTTTTCCACTGATGACACGGAAAGATTCCTCGGATTTCCCCTGTTCCGACACTTTCAGCCATTTCAATTACTGGAGGGAGCAGCTGCCTACTGTGGAGAACCAGGACATCCAGCTAGAATCAAGCTGAGCAGGAAAATAACAAGCAGGCATGGAGATCTGCTTTCTAGGTCAAATTGTATTTCTATACCTCTATTCATGGCAAAAGAGCACTTTTCAAATAGATTTTGAAGTATATAGAGTACCTTCAATTTCATTTTGAATGCATTTTAACATCTATTGAAGATGCTTTTAACATCTAAAAGTTAGACAGCCTTCTGTACAGTTTCACCAAGGGTTGCACTGCATAAAAAAAAAAAGTTTTGATTTGAAAAGTTTAAGCGTGTTTCGATTCAAAAGCAGTCAGAAATCTGTTCTATAATCATTATTGCACTGTAACTCATTAAGTGCGATTTAAGCACTGTTGGAGGATGCTGGCAGGACAGACCCCTTTGTGTTTAAGTCTGTGCCAAATGTTCAATTCTGAGAGCGAGATGTACAGAGCTGCCTTCTTTCGTTTCAGTTACTGATTATTGATTTGAGACTCTGTAAATCTGATTTTCTGTTACTTTATCAGAGAAAGATAAGCATGGCTGTGTAGTTATAATGTAACCAATGCACTTGTAGCAATGGCAATGTAAAAATAATACACTAACACAATACTTTGTAAGACAGATTTAATATCTTTTACATAATTTTACATCTACGTTCACATTGATTTTTAGAAAATCAAATTCTGTGAGGATTAAGTAAATCTTCCTTATATACTGTATGCATCATCATACACAGATGAGGCGTTACACTCTTTTCATTGAATTTTGAGTAGGCGCTGCTTTTGAGTGATGCTGTAGATGAAATTAGTTCACTCATAAATGTTGAGTGCTTTGGGCTCCTTCTGGGTGAAAAGCATTTTATAAATAAAAGCAGTTATTATTAAGGGGCAGGCTTTAGAAACTAGTTATAAATGCATGAGACAAAAAGTCTTTCTGCTAAGCATATGAAAAAATAGCTTTAAAGTCAATGTGAAGGAGTGGATGCTGGAGCACAGTGTACAGTAGATGAATGACAAGGCATAATCTAGTACTACATACAGTATGAGTAAGAAATAATACCATGTCAGTCAGAAAAACTAGATACATTTTCGTGCCTTTGTAGTTATTCCCACAAAGATCAACATTTTTCTCATAAGCATTTTGGAAGGGAACATCTTTCTGAAACCCTTACATGTTAGTGTTTTTTACAGCTGTTCATATATTTCCTATTAATACTTCTTTTGACTGTATCTATCTCTACTTAAGATAATTGTTTTATTTTAATAATGTGTGCAGGCTGTCTGTTATACTACAACAGAGTTGTGTAAAATGCATCTGATTATTGAATGCTCTTTCAGTTCAGCTTTAATGTTGATATGACAATTAGTAAGTAAATGAGTATAGGATGGTCAAGTATTGGCTAAAATGTTATTTTCCTGCCATTATAATCCTATTTGAATATTAACAATCTCAAAATAACAAACTCAGGGGTGCTTCTTATTTTCCATGAGTAAAATTCAGGGTTCCAATTGCAATAGATTCTCTAATGTAACAACTTTAAAAAGGATATAGGACTGAAATGGCATAAGACCGAGTCGCCCTGTTGTGATTTTGATTTGTATTACTAAGCACAGTGAAATTGAATGCAGTTGTATAATTCCTATTATAAATAACACTGGGTTTGTGTGCTACAGCCATCTTACAAGGTAATGAAATAGTCTTATTTACAGAGAGTGTACAATGAAAAAGAATTACAACATTTGTGGATGTTCCCTGCACTGTATAAATGGGGGAATATATGCTAAATTAAGGTAAAAACACCGTTAATGTCTCCCAGGTATCTACAGTATATCACAGTGTCATATAGATTCATACTTGAAACCTTCTATAATATGGAAAGACTAAATATTTTGTTACATATTTTATGTGTTTTAAATGTAGTTTGCATATTTAATAGAGACTATAAATTGTTACTGCTTTTTAATGCAAATTGGATCCACCATACATTATACATAGATTACATACTGTACATATATTCAGTGTCGAAATTTCCCTCCGTTTCAAACTGTATGCATTATTGGAAACCATCTTTTTACACAGTAGTTTTTAAATAATATTTTCCAGTCCTCAGAAAATAAGGGGATCTAATAATAAAGGGGGTTCCCGAACTTACTGTAGATTTTAAGCAAATATACATTACAAATAGTACACAATATTGTGCCTGTTGACATTGTAGCAGGGTGTCATGATGGCACAGTGGTTAGCATTGCTGGCTTGCTGCCATGGAGCCCTGGGTTCATTTCCTGGGGTGCTATCAGCATGGAGATAGTATGTTGGGGATAGTATAACCAGGTGTGCAGGTTTCCTCCCACAGTCCAAAGAAATGTTGGAAGGTTAATTGCCTTCTTAAAACACCCCTGGTGTGCATGTGCCCTCGGCGATGGACTGGTGTCTCGTCCAGCGTGTTCGGCCTTTTGCTGCTTTTGTTGCTTGCCTACACAGACTCTGGCTACCCCTCAACTCTGTATTATATACAGTGGTTTGAAAATGGATGAATGGATGTAATAGTATAGCTGAAGTAATATTAAAGAGGCATTTTCCACTGAGTCCGTATAGTAACAGCACAATATGCTGTGTATTGTGGTTACTTCAAGGTGTTCTTCAGCAACTTACAGAACAGAAAACAACAAGGTGCATGTGACCTCCACTTGCATCCAGCTGGGCAATGCCCAGTTTTTTTTTTTATATGGCATGTTCAACATGTAGACTTCTACAATTTTAAAAATGAATGTGGTATAGGAGGACATTTATCTCCCCTCGGTGTATAAAAGAGATTTATTTTGTAAAATTAAGATGTAATTTATCTTACTGTTCATATGTACATGTTCAATTGGGGTTGAAGGGTGTAATCTTGTGAATATCATGTGAAGTTATATAATATAGGTAATCTTATCCTGATTTTATCACATTGATACCTGACCACTATTCATTGCAGACATAGTTTTGCAATGTAAAACTTCAGACTAAAATTCTTTCAACAGTATTGTAGTTATGTTTTGTGATACAAATACACATTATAAATGAAATACTTATTTTTCAAGCCTCTCTAGTCCATAGAGAGAAGTGTGGAACTCCTTACCACCTTTAAGCTCGGGTATAAGTTCAAGATCTCAAATATGGCTGTCTCAATGTCAGAACGTTGAGATTATGCAATCTAAATAATGTAAGCCAGATTTTTAAAATTTGTATATCGATTTGTTTGCTAGTACTATGTTAATGTATTAAGATATTTTTCTGATGTAGTACATAGTTTGACATTTTTACAAATATTGGTTATCTTGCATAAAAACATCATCTTAATAATAATAAACATTTCCTATGTCTACCCACCCACAAAAAATTTAAACATCTTCCAACTGCATCCACTGGTAACAATAGTAAAAATGGAAAGAAATGTTGCATAAGCTCAGCATCAAAAATGGGCACATGTACTTAACGACATTACATCTGCTGTGAACATGGCATTGTGTACTGGTTCTTATTCAATTGTTACGTATATAGTTGTTATTCATTATTTAGTGTGCCTGTTATTTAAAAAGAATGTAGTCCCCGAATTTTATTGGATACATTTCAGAAAAATCCAAAATCCAGATTTCCTTTGGTCGCAGTTTGGGTTAGAGATCCTGTATTGTACACTGAGCAGTTAGTTCATAGTAACACCACAATTTGTAATGATTTCACTTGATGTTCTGCGTTGTTCTATTGATTGTGCAGACCAGTTAGAATGAAAAATATTCTTTCCATGAAAGATCTATGTAATGTGCTTTATATTGCCTTACTCATGGCTGTCAATATACATGATTTTGTTTTTTGAGATGTACAGTACAGACTGGACATCTATTATGTCGAATGTGCTGAGATCAATGGCATTTATATCTTGCTGTAATAAATGTAACTTCAATAAATGCCAAGACGAATTATCTGCTCGTTTGAATTGAGAGCATGAACCTTAAGCCTATGCTTTACCCCATTGTGTCTCTATTGCTTTTTCTCAAGGTGGCTGCTTAATGTCAGACAGGGTGAAAATTGCTTTCACTCTCTGATCTTTGTAAAAGAATATCAGCCATTCAACAACAAAAGAAATGTGATCTTTGTGGAAGACCTCTGACAAGAATGAACATGATTATGTGAGAAATACTATTTTTTTAACTCGGAATTAAAAAAAGATGGGTTATCACACCAGGCTAAAGTAAATTTCTCAAGTATTCACCCAATCGTTCAAATATCTTTCCAAGTAAATTTATTATTGCCTTGACATCGTCTTTGTTTTCCACCCCTATTTTTGTATCACATGAAAATTGAACTAGTTTTCTATTTTGGAATCTTAGTCACTAATATAGATAAATGGGTAAAAATTCCTTCTGGCACACCATTGCTTACTGTATATCTGCCAAATGATTTTATGCTGCTTAATATTGCAGCTTATTAACAAAGTGTGTACATGAAACTCAGATCAACAAGCCCATTTCTTCAGTGTGATTATCACAGTCCTTAGGCTTTGGCTAGCTTTCTTTAGAGATTATTATACTCTATAAAACCTAGTGAACACTATAAAACAAAATCTAGAAGATCACAGTCAATGTCTGAGACATGTCAGATATTCTAAAGTGTTAATGTAAAGGAGAATTACTGACATTATAAACGGTTGATCAGCAACATATAAGTGGTTTTACAATTGCAGAAATTTGAAAGTTTCAGTATTACTCCGGTTACTGTACTTTTCTCCCACCTCTCAATGGCATGCTTGTAGGTTAATTGGCTACTCTGAATTGTCCGCTTCCGGGATACAGCAGGGCATCCTGTTATAGTGTTACAGTTTAGATGAAAAACATTTCCGAATGCTAAAAAAAATGATTGGGGAAATAACGATTACCTGAACTACATTTGCACCCCCCTCCCATATGTCTGCCCCTTTTTGGGAAAGGAGCACATTCTTCTCGGCAAAGGTCTTGATGTGACCACACAGGCCTCAGGCTCTGGGCTTGAACACTCAGCACTGGGAAGTTTGTCCTGGGAGCTGGAAGCCTCCGTTGGCCTCTCCGTGCTTTTCCCTGCTGCGTGCTTTCACCAGGCCAAACACCACTGCTGCCAGAGTGTGCTTCCCCCTCATGCTCCCCCGGCGGCAGGCCGCTCCCTGACCTAGCTGGCCTGGCTCCTGCGCTGTGCCGCTCACAAAGTAGGTCCGCACCCCTCCCTGCTGTTCGCTGACCCCCTTGACGTAGATCTCGCCCCGGAACTCTAATGCAAAGCCTCGCTCCGCCAGGATGCGGCCTGTCCCTTCTGGCACCTGGATCTGTCCGCTCACCCCTGTGCTCTCCATCCGGCTGGCCAGGTTCACCGTCATTCCCCAGATGTCGTACTGTGGCTTCTTGGCACCAATTACTCCAGCGACCACAGGGCCATGAGTAATTCCTAGTCGTTTCCACCATGAGATAAGAAACAATTACTACAGGCAGTCATACAATAAATAGGAAAGAGGGATGTCACGTGACAGATACGGCCACCAAGACAGAAGAGGAGGTGCTTTATATTGTCTCCACGAGAAGTAAAAACCCCTACAATGAGCTGTACCATTTGGTACTCGGACACTTTTAAATAAATGATCCCTGTTTGTTGAATGAGTGAATTTTGTTAAGATTTACAGGATTACCCACCAACACGCAGCTGGAAGTTGTTGAAAGAGTGCCTGTTAATGAATGTCAACATCTCTTGCATTGCAAAAGCAAAGTGAACCAGTTCACCGACGTGGTGCCATTCATCTGCAGTCTCCTTCAGAGAGAATAAGATAAGAAGACAAACATGAAGAGACTATTTGGCTTGTCTAGTTCATTTAGTTTCTAATAGCTAATTCTTCCTAGATCTCATCTAGCCATATCTTGAATAAATTTACCTGTCCATACGGATAGTTAGCTTGTTACAGACTCTCACAGCCCTTAGTGACAGGATTAGATTTAGAATTTGATTACTTCAAAGGGGAATACCTAGGCCCTCAAACTATTGGGACTGCAAAGTCAAAACTCTTTTTAAAAGGCAAGCAATTTGTATGCAGTAGGCTATCTTGAGATTAATATAAATGATAAGCAGGCTATTATATACATTTTAGTTTTGGGTAATTACAAGTGGTAATATTTCAACATATTCATCTTAAAACAAAAGGAAATTATGTTCAACCTGGAATAAAATATAGAATATGCTTTTGAGGTAATAGTTGCATGATGTTTATGACCTATTGAGGAGCGGTAATTATTCAGGTTTTATAAGGTCTTTTAACTTCAACTGTGCTTGCTTTTTATTCCCAGAATGTTGTTTAGGTTTCATTAGTGGACTCCAACACTGAAGTCAAAGTGAAACAGGCTGTTCACAGATCTTTTATGAGGCTATTTACCCCAAAACAAACACATGATCAACGAGTGACACCTGTTAATCAACTGTCCCAATTCCTTAGTTCCTTCAAAATAAAGAGGTTCAGCACTTTCAGTTTGTTTAATTGACCCAAGAGGGTAAACTGAGATTGATCTGATTAAAAATAAAAATTGAAGTTTTACTTAGTACTTCAATCATGTTTTCTCAAGAGTAAATATTATTCTTACTGTATTATTATTAGAGTTTGTAATTTAAATCACAATTCAGACTGCACTGTCACAAAACCTTTAAAGGGTCACTGTAGCCACCTGAGTCCTGAGAATATCTGAAACTTTTAGCTTTTTCAGCTAGGTTGGTATCTTAACCAAGTCTCATTTTCCAAGAACGATCTAGTCCTTAAAGAGTTTGTACTGTTTTAGAAACACAATAATGCCAAACGTATAATATAACTATAACCATATGTCAACCTATAAAGGCAAAGAGTTGTTTAAAACTGTAGTTTCCAGAATTTAATAAATTTGAATTAATGCTTCTCGTAGATATTCCATCATTAAAAATATGCAGCATAATAATGAGTCAATAAATAAAAAGGAATGTAATTAAACACTAGAAATATAGTAAATGTTAAACATAATAAATCAGGATGAACTATAATAAATTCTTAAAGTATAAGAAAAACTAAAAAAAAGGAAAAATTAGTAACACTTGCCTGTTTTTCTGGAGAAAGGCCTGATGCAGCCATGTAACAACTCCCAATGGTTTTGATTTTTTCAATATTCTCAAAAGCCTTTTCTCCAAGCAGCTGAATCACGTGGGAGTGAATGAGAACAAGGAATGTGACTTCAATGTTATTCTATATGGCTTCACTAAACTCTCAGTATAAAGCAGCTGATGGTGTAATAATCACCTACGGCCCATGGCTGTTCATTTTCAGCAAGATGCAGACAAGCAGGCAACAGACAATAGTGACCTCCCAGCCTATATATCTAGTGAGCACCATAAAGATCCGTGCGAGGTCTGGATCTCACCTCGTCAAAATCAGAGATGATCTCGTTCAGCAGGCGCAAGCACTCCACGCTCTGATTGCTGAGCTCTTTCTGGGTATAGAAATCTGCAAAGCCTGGGATTGAGGCAAACATTACACCCACTTTGTCGTAGGACTGAGAGTATAGGTTCTGAAGAACGGAAAAAAAGTGTCACTTCAGACTCAACGAACCAATAAATAGGGATAAACATATGCATTCAATTCCACTTACAGTACCATTCATGCCAGTATCAACAGTGTTTTCCTAATACTTTCTTGTATGTAATAGTGCAGCAGCATCCATATTGCACAAAGAACAACTCCATCCTGCAGGCGTAAGATATTGTGACTTTGAAAGGATCATCTTGAAGTCTCCTGGGGCTCCTGATTCTATACTGTACTATCAATATAGATATTTATCAGTGAAATGAAACTGTTTTTGAAGTGTCTTAAGGTTTTGTCCCAAACCTGAGCAATCAATTAAACAATAAACTTAATTATTCTGTTTGTTAAGCATATATATGGAGTTTCTCTGAAGATCTTTTACAAATAATTACTCAAAATAGTCACTTAATTTAGGTGTCCATCACAGAGACTTCTGAAAAAAAAACCTTTCACAGAAAATCAGTAAGGGTAACACTGCAGGTACTGAGGCATCAATTCGTCATGGCGACAGACTGGGGGTGCGTTTGTTGCCGTGATACCTTATCTTTTCTGTCCCTTTCTAGGAAGTGGCGTGCCACATGGCTGGGCAAGATATTCCGCAGGAGGCTCTCATTGTGTTGTCGTAGCTCCTTCATGTCCTCCACTTCCTGCCGGGCCTGCAGCTGCCAGAGGAAATCCAGCCTTGCTGTTGTCTCCAGCTGAGACATTTGGGGGAAAACCAGGGGTGGTGGTGGGGGATTATAGATGAACAGATGCTCTTGCGTGAAGCTAAAACCTTCTGTGTGGCTACTACCTCTGCCTCTAACCTCCTAATCAAACAGCCATAGTTCCTCCTCAGTATCTGAGCTCTAACTACATGGCCCAGTGACTCAGTTCTTATAATCAGATGACACTTCATCTCTCCTTTCAGTACAGTGTAATTCTATAAAATAACAAGCTATCTGGTTTTGCTGTAAAGCTCCCCAGGTCTAGTGCAAACAAAGAAACAAACATACAAAAAGGGGGTCAAAACTACTTGAATCCAAGTATCTATTAATGACCCTCACGTGACAAAAATCATGTCCTTCTGTAATTTGAACTGTAAACTGTTTATCTCAAGTCTACTTGGTATATTCTGACTTCTCTGAAGGTGATGGCTCACCTGTCGGCCATTGTAGAACACAGCTGCAACAAATATGGACATCAACAGCAATGAGATCCCCTTCCTCCTGAGGTAATTGGAGATGCAGCAGTATGAATGTAAGGTAACATACTGTAAATTCAGTACAAAACCTGAAAGGCTGAGTCAGTTCAGGATTAGTTGTACTAAGCTTCCTTATCTTTTGTTCAGTAGCTCAGCATACTGTAGCCTCACTGCTGCTTCACTTAGACAGGATTTCTACCATTTTGTATTTCAACTAAGGAGCAATGTATCAAACATTGCTGTAGGTGATACATTCATCAATGTATTTTTCTTTTTTGGTATTTTCTTTGTACATTTACATATATGTGTATGTATATTGAAAAACATGAAGATTTATTTTTAGCTTTATGATGTTAGTATTTGTTTTTTCAGTTCCACTTGATTCAGGAATTCCACAGAAATAAGGACTTCATCTTTAGATTACCTTTTTGTGTGAAAGAATGGTAAAAGCGACGTTGTTGAAGCCAATTCCCTGGCTTTTTTCAAGAAGCTACTAACTACCAACTGGCCTAGATGGGCTAAATGAGCTCCTCTCGACTGTAGTCGAGTTTTAATAACCTGCAAAAGACCATCGCTACTGTAAAGCCCACTGTGTTGACTGAGAGAATCTATCTATTCCAAAACCTAATGCACATGTGGATAATTACTCTTGGATAAAGAAGAAAAGTTATGAAAACATCATCATCTGCATTGTCTTATATGAGGGCCTTGTTGTTTTCTGAAGCGTTGCGAGATTGTAGGAAGGCAGGATAATGAACCTGTCACTGTGATAGAGCCGATCATGGCGAATGAAGAGGTCCTGGAAGGCCACCTCAATCAGGTATGCATACACTGTGATTATCAGAATCAGCACGGCCAACTTCAGCAAGGAGCTGAGTCTCAGGAACACTGCAGACGTTACCAAGGCAACCACCCCGCTCAGCACAAAGTACTGTGGAAGGAGAGAAGCACATAAACAGTACAACACTTAGTTTTCCAGCCTGCACAGAACCGTGGCTCACAGTCCACATTAGATGTGATACTTCCCTTTTTTAAAGAACAATTATCTCGTGATTCAGCTCTGTTGTCAAGGAGATTTAAGCGTTAAGAAACATAAATCAATGTTGTTAGTATGTCTTGTTATAGACTGTAATGCATTTCAGCCATCAGAAGAAAATGCACTTTCTTCTCTTGAGTTCACCACCATCTACACAATAAACACACATGGATTTGACTTGGTAACTCATAATCTGCTGTCTATTTTATATTATGGAATCCTGCTCTGCATGGCTCCTCCGGTCTGCATACCATCTTAGTCACCCTTGGATTTTATTTACATTATTCAATTCCCCTGCTCTGGGGTGCCTTTTTTAAAGTACATCTTTCAAAGTGCTATTCGTGGACTTGCTACCTCTGGATGGGTACAGATGTTGATGGGCCATAGGCTGGCTTTCTGTGTACTGCTCCTGTTCGACATGTCTGTGCCCTCTGCTTCCAAGCTATTGCACCACATCTGGGTAAGAGAGCATCCACGTGAGTACATTATAGTAGAACCTGCTGTCAGATATCATGCTTTCACAATAGTCCTAAAATAGAGCTATCTAAACATTAAAGATAATTCATTTTGAACACAAAGGGGGCATAAATACTATATATTTACTGTATCTCAAAAAGGCACATTTGGAAGGTTTCAAAACACATACAGTACCATCAGCTGAACATTAAAATGACTCCCTGTGAAAGCCTCTGGTTTTGAATAATACAGACATTTGCTAATGGGTGCTCACTAAGGATGCTCAAGTGAGTTTGCAGCACTTCTTTACAACTGTACACAATCCCTGGGCTTTGCTAATGAAATATCTTTTCTGTAGATATTTCTTGATATGCATATTATAGACAAGACCAGATATGATGCGTGAATTGTTACTGAAGCATTTGCGCAGTGAGCAGCAATAACTGATTAATGTTGTCCTGTGATTCTGGAGAATGGAAGGGACTCACAATGTTGCAGGAGGCCACTCCACAGTTGATGATGATGGCAGAGAGAGTGAGGAGATTGCGGGCACCCTTGGTTTCATGGATCCAGCAACAGAGCTGCTGCAGAGCTGCAGGAGAACACTTGAATTCCTCCGCCATGGTTACCAGCAGCATGACCATGTAGGCCAGGAGGAAGAGGGTGAACTGAACCACCATGGCAGACACCCTGCGTTAAGGGAGACAGTGTTCCAATGGAACAGGTTTTTTATCTTCTTTTTACAACGTTGAGCTTCAAAGAAAGCACAATGTGGAAACAATGTTTTTGAAGTTGATGGTGATGCTAGTTTACTCACTGAGGGGCAGGGATGAGGCCTTGCACTGCCATGATGATCAGCAGTATGAGGAAAGAGCACACCAGATTTGACTTGAACATCTCATCTCGCATGTGGTTGAACTGGAAGAACAGACAGAAAGATGCAAATCGCAAGGTTGTGTAATATATATGATCACTCCCTTCAGCGTCCTCCTTCAGAACTCTCCTCTGAACAGGAGTCTTGTATTTTAGAGGTCACAACCTGGATAACAACCAACCTTTTACTTTAATAAAAAAAAATTCAACTTTGGACAGAAGGGACAGGACCAAATGGGAAGAGATTTCAGTTCAATAAGCAATCCAAATAAAACAAGATTATACCACTCTCTCACAGGATACAGTATGTTGGCTTTGTGTAGAAATGCCAGTTATTAGTAGTACCCGTAGAAAATCTACACACCCTATCCAAAGTAACATTTTAATGACCAAAGATCCTAAAATCCATACAAATCAAAACAGATTTTAATTCACCTTTATATACAGTACACATTATAACATACTGTACAAACTCCAAGCTGGAGCTAATTAACTTGGTGCATGACTTGGAAGACAATTGGTTGCACCAGAGCTAGCTTACAATTGCTGTTAATAAGCAATGTGGACACTTATCCAACCCATTTTTCTATGTTTTCGTGTTTAATTACTTTTCAGATTGAACATTTGTTTTTCACCTGGACGTTGTGTGTTGGAATGTGTAAAAGGTAGTACGATAAATTCTTGATTTCAATATTTTTGGGACACAATATACCGTATGTTACTTTGGAAGGGATGTGTAGACTTTCTATAGGGAGTGTCAATACTGTAACTCAGTACAGAAAATGCATATGAAGGGTTTTATTTTGAATTTCACACATTTTCATATTTCATATTTTTAACATAAATAATGTGGCTACGCTTGAATACGTAGGATGCCTCAGGATGCATAGGCTGCAAAGGAACAGGTCAAGACTCAGAAACACAGCATTTCAGCTGTGGAGCCTTCTTCAGGTGTGAAGGAGAGAGAGCAATATGGTGGGGATGTCATTTTCCAAGCAAATTTCCAAGTTAGAGAATACAACATATTCCTTGCTCTTGATATTTTGACTGAAATAGGCACTCAGGAACATCCGGGCCCTGTCCTTTTTAAAACACCCAAATTCTGCTGGCTACCTTTTCTTTCTCAGCCACTGTCCTTAACGCACAGCCATGCTTTGCATACCTTGGCTTCAACATGCGCATCCTTGAAGACCAGAGTGACAGGAGTGATGTGTTCTTGTCGAACACACTCGCTGCTCCTCTCTCCTATGGCATGCTGAATACGCTTGTTGATTTCCTGTGAATACAAGCGTTTGGGTGCCAGTGCGCCCCTTGAGTCACTCATGAATGTAGCCAAAATCTGTAGACAGATACCAACATTTTGAAATTATTATTGATTGTCTAGTAGCTCAAAAGGCTGCTTAGAGTATCAGTTTTGTTTTTTGAAAAAAGGAAGTGTATCCTAAGAAGACCGTCTCTTGTCTTGACTTTATAATTATAACTGATGAGATTTATATATTTTTTAATTTTTTGTCAATTTGTCACGGAATCCTTTTCAAGGTCAGCCTCATAACAAGATGTTATGTGCTTATATTTTATTTTATAATGCTATATATTGTACTTTATCCTTTATCATGGATTTGGACTGTACTGTATATGCTGAGTGCATGTTATTAAGAAATGATTTAATGCCAGCCACATGCAATTATTTTACAAGGACTGGCAATTAAATCTGCCAGGATAATTCTGTCCCTAAGAAACATGACTACAGACCTGAACTGCCATTTAAAAATCAGTGGGGAACCTACATTCGCCTAAACTGAAAGTAATATTGAACGCGACTTCCTTACACTCCTAGTTTTGTGGAAAGATGTAGAGTGATGTTTAAGATCTACAGGTTTTGTTGACATGCCTAAAAATTCTTAAATAACAGAAACCTATGGTTAAAGAGACCTACTGTCTTCTTCAGGAAAAGCTATATTCTTCTCATTCATGGTTTCATTGACAATGTACTGGCATTTCACGGCTTTATCTGGCTTGAGATCCAGTCAAACACTTTAGCAAAGAGAGTCAATGGTTTTGCATCAGTGGAGATATGAACTTATATTTGAGGATGAAATCACAATGGAAATTAATTATTACAGTTCAATCAGATAAAACAAATGGATAAGTTCACTGTGTTACTTCACTGTTAAGCAGAATGTCTTTTTGAGAGCAGCACTCACACAGCTCGTGCCAGTAATGTTCCTGAAGGGCACCTCTGGGCTCCAAGGGGTCTCCATGGTTCTGTGCTGCTGCCCTGCGCCATCTGGGACTCCAGGTGGCTCCTGGTCCAAGGGTGGCTCAGTGTGGCGAATGAAAAAGGTGTCAATGTTGTGTTTGCGGAGGAACTCGTTCCTCTCCTGCCCATGGCCCTCCTCCGTCTCATAAACACCCCCTAAGCTATCCAAAGTGTCCCTGGAGATGTGGATTCTCCTGTAGATAAGAAAGGGAGGGGCTAGGAACTTCCTGAATCTTTTTCATGACTATTAGATGGAGGCTACATGAAGTCAGGCTGCTTTTATCTCCTCATGCCACTTACCCAGGGATGCCTCCTGCCTCCAGCATGTTTGCCACAACCACATCCCGAGACCAGACATCAAACTGCCACTTCTGCAGCCCCAGGACCCCACAGAGCACGGAGCCTGAGTGGATACCGATGCGCATGTCCACAGCATGGTCCAGCTGTTTCTGTACATCCCTGAGGGACAAAGCCACGGACGAAATCACATCTCTGTCTCGTAATAATAAATGATATTTCATTATAGCAAATGAGATTAACCCTGGTCCTGGAGACCCCATTCTAGCAGGATTTGTAGGCGACCATTAAAATCACCAGTTTCTAAAGATGTGGCTTAGTTCCAATGCAATCATATATGCAGGTGATCTGGGAGGGGACCTACTGCAACAGCCTTCATACTTCCACCTGCCCCACTACACAGAAGATAAGGCAGAGATATGGGAGACTTCCTAGTGAATTAAGGTGGAATGTTAGGAGGCCAGGGTTTTCAAGCCTACTGTAGAATTTAGCCTGGACACCAGGGTTAACCATCATACACTTAGGGACAGTGTCCCCTGGTGGATTTTTGATGACCTATGTCTAATTTGAAGAATGGCAATTCCTGCTGCAGTGTCCATACTGTGCACCATACTGGGTCATTCTTTTATAATTGGGTATATAATTTACTGGATATATGGGTATATGTAGGTATAGTACTGGTATATGATTTCCAAGAGTGCCACCTACTGGTCCACTAACACCACTTGCAGCAGCATCCTGGTTGTCCTTGGAGGTCCGTGATCTGACCTGTGCTGACTTTTTTGCTGTGCAAACCCCTGCAGGCAAGCTATGTCCTCATTAGATAACCGACAATGATAGCGCAGAGTACTACAAATGTTTTTGTGTTATACATAATGCTTTTTTCAACTTGTTAATTTGTCGTCAGATAAATTAAATGATACAGCATCTTTAATAAAGATTCCACAGACTATCAAGCCTTAATTATTTTAGATTTCTTCATTTGTGGGGACTGTTAAGTAATGAATTAGGCAATGAAAGTACTCATTAAATCTAAGTGTACAGTAGGTCTCCTTGGGCAGATGTAGCCATTAAATAAATTAATGCATAAATAATCTAAACACTATAATATGATAGACAGAAAGAGCCAAAGTGATCTATTCAGTTTTACTCAATTTATATTGCCAGTGTCACAAGACTGTACGTTTTATGAAGAAAAGCTGTGTTTTAAAGCATTTGAATATTAAATGTGCTTTTGTTATTTGTATTAGCTGAGATACAAACAAGAGTTAGCTACAGGCAGTTTACCGTATTGCTGTTGTTGTTTAAGAAAGCTGGAGCGTTGAAGGATTGGAAGGACCAGTGAATGGTGAGAATGTGGTAGCAAAGAGAAAAACTCACCTTAAAGTGTTAATCATTGCTAGCCCCATTTCCACACAGCAGCGGGCGTGGGTGCTCTGTGGTTTGGGCACACCTGAAACGCAGTAGTAGCAGTCTCCCAGAATTTTTATTCTCATGCAGTGGCGCTCCTGTCATGCAGATGAAACAAGGCCAACCAGACAGCAGACAAAAAGTATATGTGATTCACCACAGCAAATTGATAGTGAACAGACAGCAGAGTTTTTAATATGTGCATAGCCAGTGTAACGCAAAAAATAAAAAATAATTATCATTAACAATAATATTTACAATTGGTGACTACGCAGAAGTTCCCTGCAGGGGTTCTAGAGATATTCCAATATTTCTATTTATACTACTTTCATTTTCTTTTTTTAGATATAATTGGACCAGATCCTTATTTCCCACATGACGCCAGGTAAAATAACTAAAATCTTGCTTAAAAACACCCTGTAGCATGAGGTTATGTATCTTTTTTTAAGTTAAGACAAAAGTTGTCTGAAACAGTTATTTGTACAAGTACAACAAACCTCCATAGTGAGAATGAAGGAATATGTAGCAGACGGATGAAGGAGGTACTGTCTCCCTAGTTCAGACAAACCCTAATTGAGGCAATGGAGGGGTGTCATTTGAATGAGTTTGTTTTATTGGCTTAAGTAACCTGGCTAAGGGGAATGGAAACCTGGACATGGGGAACGAGGCCATTGGAACCCCCTTTCAACAAGGAATGAGTTAGGGAGCTGCTGCAAGAGTGAAGATGGGGCAGAGGGACGAATACGAGAATGGGTTGCAAAACGCACGGCTGAGTTAACCAGCACAGTGATATTTAGACAGACTGTAGATAGGTGGAAGTAGACGAGAAAGAGATTGACCATTTGTGTCATCATTTCTCCTGTTGTTGTGCTTGCTCACCTCAGTCAGGTGATCGAAGCGGCCAAACAGTTCATTTAGTATCCGCACAAGTTCTTGGGCCGAGAGAGTCATAGACAGGGCAGTGAAGCCTTTGATGTCTGCAAATAGGATGCTGTAACATTCAGGTAAATAAAGGGAAAGGAGAGAGAAAAGACAATGACAGACACTGGAAGCATATAAAGAGCGGCGCACACAGCTCCACTCTGTCGATGAATGTATTGCTCATCAGCTTTGTAAATAATCATGCAATGATCAAATTTATTTTCAGCAGAAAACACTTCCATGCCTTACTCGAAGAAGGAGTTCCTCGATATCTGCTTCTGGAAGAGCACATTTTAATCTAAATCCTTGCCTTGAACACCTTACCGAGTCTCCAGTAATGTGTAAATGTGTGCACATTTTAAGTGCTATGTGTTTATCGCGCCAGCAGGGGTCACCTGTTGCCTAGTCATGGACATTTGTACTGTGCAATGCTTGGTGTTTTACCAGCATACTACAGTATATACCCATATAAAAATAATCTCAGCAACTATTCTTCTTTCCCACATGTATTAAGAATAAAATATCATAAAATATAAAGCATCAAATATCTGAGGATTGGCATCCTGTTCAGTATGCACCCTGCCTTGAGCCCAATTCTTGCCAGGATAAGCTCCTCTGTGACCCTGAATTGGAAGAAGTAGTTAGAAAATGGATGGAAGGATAATGTACAAACCTTATACTTCAGGACATTAAATTAAAGGAATTCTTTATTTTAACATAGCTAAGTTACTTCATCCATGATCAGAAATCTGCTGATTTATCACAAGGTTGAGTAACAGACCTTACTTAACCTCAGGGCTCAAGGTGAAACTGTACCCTGGATGGATTGGTGGCCAGTTTGTTTCAGGACACTCACCAGCATGAATTAGAGTATCCATTTAACAAAGGGAGATTAATTAACATGCAAATCTACAAGGTAGGCACCCCCATTTTCAACCATACCCAGGACCCAAGTGATGGCAGGCATTCAAGGCTAATCACAATGTTACCATTCCTCCCTAAATACAGTAGCTAATTACAACTTAATTTTAAGTACTCTTACATAAATTTACTTGCGGCAATTATATCTGTTTAGATTAGTTTTATGGTTGTTTCCTTTTTTACGAGGGGGAGAGTGGTGTAGTGAGGGATGGGGCGGTCTGTGGAAGATGCCTACCCTTGTAGCAGGGGGTACCCAACCCACCTGACATCCTTATACTGGTGGATGTAGATCTTGTGGACCTGCTGAGGTAGCTGCTCATCCTCTGTGTTGCTCATGTCTGCTATCATCTCCAAAGCCACAAACTGAGGCAGTATTGAGAGTACAAGCCTTTCCTTCAAAGACATACAGCAAGTTCTATTAATCATAGTGCATACTGTACATCGGACAGACTACTTTCCTCTTACTGTTCTGGAATACAGATTATGTGAAACATGCATAAAAGTACTTCAAGATGGCATGCAAAAAATGCTTCAAGAAAGTAATTCTTGTGATTCCTTTAAAATAGCATTGTAGGCCCATAAGACAGCCTACCACACAAATGATTCTGAACACTCCCCCTTTTTTATACAATACCTTTTCTTCAGGTAAGGGCAGTTCTGTACTTATAGCTAAATTAACACGTGCTACATATTTCTTTTTTTTTTAACATCAATAAATATTTACAGTAATTGAAGAAAAAGTGCTACCATCTACTAATGTAGCATCCACTGTGCAGGCATATTGTTATCACCAAAAATGAAGCAGATGGACAAATGACAAAGTATGATCTCTAGCCACAAGACGAAGTTAAATGTTTTGAAGAATTTGTACTGTATACAAGTGCCATTCTGTGCAGTGGGGGATACCTTTTATGGTAATTAGCTTTCCGTTGAGGTTCTCAGGATCTCTAGAGTTGTACTATATGAAGAAAATAAACTGTAAAACTATAAAAATAAACTATAAGTTGTTCTATAGGAATAAAATATTTTGATTTGTAGAGTATTATAATTACCAATTTTTTCTCATTCCATAATCATTTACCTCTGGTTTTGTTATGGTGCACAGGACACGCAACACACTAAGTATAGTGAATCACCATGTTCCCCGCCCCCCCAGCATACATACAGTATTAACACTGACACTGATTAAACATATACAGTACCATCAAGGAAGAAAATGGATTCAGTCCCATTTGGTTTATTACATCCCTTCCACTCTCTCCTCAATACCTGTCTCTGATTCTCTTGCTCCAGTTGAATTCTGCCTTCAATACAGCGGCGAGTCTCCAGAAACGCTTGTCTCTGTGCTCTATCAGACAGGTAGTGGACAAAGAGACCTGCTGTGTTCATGCCCATGTAGAGTAGACCCTTGGCTAATACCTGCAGAAACTCACAAAGGAAGAGAATGAAAATCCAGTGGCTTATGCAGCAAGCAGTAACCCATTTTCACTGGCATGGTATACTCAGGGTGTTTGGTTATACTGTAATTCTACTCACCTCAGTACTTTCTTTAAAGCCTGAAAAATTAAGAACACTTTGTTTTCAATAAAATTGGACAATTGAGTGTCACGTTATAGTAATATATAGTGAATCAGCTTGAAAGTCTATCACGCAGACACATACTGTAATATAAGCAATTTTCAGACAAGAATTTATAAAGGAAGATTAATAGCAATCATAAGATCTCTGAGTTTGCTAACAAGTCTGATGTTGCAGCCCATGATTTATAAGAATGTGTGGCACATCTATCACATTTAGCAGCTCATATAAATTCATCTTTTCTATTGCACTGAGTTTCAGGAAATTAATTTGAACAAGAAAGATTCATCTTGATACTCTTGTTGCAATTTAAGCAATTGCAGACATTATTCAGTATTTGTATTCTAATGCTGAGAATTATTATAAATTCTAAAACAATTATAGTACCCACAGTGCCTTGCAAAAGTACTCACACCCCTGCAATGTCTCATTGCTGCCTGAACTTGAAATAGTGACTCTTTTAAGTAAGGCTTTATTTCTATTATCTATCAAATCTAGATTTTGGAAGCCGAAATTTCCTCTGAGACCTCTGCATCTATCTGAAATGCATCTGTCTCTGTATCTGTTTGAAGGAAAACATAAATGAAGACGACTCATCTCAAATCTCAAATGTAATATAATGCAAACCAGGCGAACAGGTTTATGGTCAGATGAGACAGAAATTGATCAATTCTGTCTTCATACAAAGAATTATGTCTGGCACAAGCCCAGCACAGCACATCACCCCGTGAGCATTATCCCAATTATCACATATACTGTAGTCGTGCTGCTTCCCTCCATAGGATTCAGGACTTATTCACTTCAATGGTTCAATTAAGTCATGAAGGACTGGGAGGGAATGAAACCAGAAAGACACATAAGAACTCCAGGATTAGTGTTGCCTACGCCTGATCTATAACACACCAGGAGAATGATATCAGTCTTATTAACATTTGAAGAAACAAAAGCAGATTTATTTTTTTTCTAAACACCCCGCAAATAAAGCCTCAATGTGAGCTTGTTAGACAAAAAGAAGTGTTAGAGTCAGCCACCTTCCTGAAGAGAGCTGCTTCATTAAAGTTTTTGATGGTCTCCACCAGCAGATGCAGAGCAGATGTCAATGACCCTGTACAGATGGACCACAGCAGAGGGATGGGTAACAATGTGTAGGTGGCAAAAAGGGAGAAGAGGACATACCAAGACTCATCCTTCTCCAGCCCACACCCCACCCCCCCAAGCACCTGTATGGTCTGAGACAGCCAGCTGGTCAGACCAGCATAACGGAGGAACTGAGGAGAAGTGGCTCCCTTGCAAGTCATCGCTAAGATACACAAGATGGCACCCAAGGCCATAAACAGTCCTGCCAGCCCTCCTTGGACAGAATCCACCACCCCGGGGGTGACCAGCAGGTAAATAAAGATGATGTGGAGTTTGGTGACAATGTCAATGATGTTGGTGACGATGAGAGAGGTCCTCCGCTGGCACGAGGAGTAACACTGGTAGAATCTCTCCAGGTCCTCGGACTTAAAGGTGTGGTGCAAAGTGGGTAGAAAAACACCCTTGAAAGTTGAACCCCAGCTGACAAAGAAGTCCGCATCGCTCATGGAGTCGCTGGGGGAGGTGCTATTCTGTGTGCTAGTAGAGCCCCCCTCTCCAGAGGGGTGCACTCGAGTGGTGGACGGCCATCTTTTGGAGCCCTGGCCCCTGGAGACCTTGTTCCGGATCTGCCTGTTGATGTCATTGATGCACTCGTCCGTAACGGTGATCTTGCGTGTCGGCTCCACTCCACCCTGGCTGCAGAGCTCCTGCTGCCCTACAATGTGCTTGATGGCGTTTTGCCAGAGCAGCCTCTTGAGCTTCAGGTTGAAGGGAGGGAGGCTTGGGAGGGACTGCTGTAAGTCCCTATCACTGGAGGTCCTTGGCTTCTCAGACGCTCCCATTCTCAGGCTTCATGATCTACCGCCGACTGCTTGAAGCTCGGAGATATTGGAATGTTCACGCTGCTGTCTTATTGAATCCTATAGTGAAGAACAAAGCAGCTTGTTAGCAAATATATATATATAAATATCCCATTCTACCAGGAAAGAAACTGTACCCCAGGCAGAGGCAGTCTGAGTTTCCAGGTTTTCAGCTGCCACAGAAACTCATATTACAATATGTACATTGGGTGTAGAAAGTATTGACTTTTTATGAAAAACAGAAAAATCCAGCTTGGATAAGTATTCAACCACTCCACGCTTCAGTGTGGGAAATATTTATGATACATTCTAAGCCTTTGAGGGTTTTATTTTGCCTCTTGACTGCTTCACTGATCAAAGTTCTTCTTGCCTTGCAGTTGTGGGGGACGATCTTGTCATTCAATGACATTCTGGTTAGTTTCATGTGTCCTCCACTTCCTGATGATTGATTTAACAGTGCTTCATGGAATACTTAGTGCGTGTGAAATCTTTTCACATCTCTCAACTTACTTGTATCAGTCCACATCTTTGTTCCTTAGTTGTTGCAGAAACTCCTTTATTTTTATTTTGCTTTTTATGCAATGTCCAACACTGAAAACTCACACTGACAGGTGCATTTAGCCTCACAAAGATAGATGTTTTAAAACGGAATGGTTAACCACTTTAATTGCACTGAGGTAGATTGTAATCAACATACTGTGTAAATTCTGAAGGCAACTGGTTGAGGCAGAGAGTTAATGCTAAGAGGGTGAATACTGTTCCAATGAAGAATATTTAGGGTTCACAATTTATTTTGTCAATGTACACATTATTAATGTGTTTAAAAGTCTGGAACTTATTATAGAGGATATCGTATGGATCTAAAGGGAACAAATATGCAAGTCTATAGAGTTTTCCAGTTCTAATACAAGAAAATTGTCAATGTCAATTGGCGAAATATACTGTAATGTTGATCAATACTTTTACACACATTCTATATTGCACTGTCAGAAAAAACCTTACCTTCCAAGGGTGAAGTTTTAAAATCAGAACAATTTATGGTAGGTGATGTGAATTCACATCACTTGTATTATTACTAGAATAATACCTTTCAAGTTTAGAATAAACTACCCAAACCTTTTTTTTTTTAAAAGAGCTGCGCACATTACAAGGTGCAGTATGCTTTTACAGGCAGGCGATTTAGACCTGGTATCGTCATATAAAGTATTATTACTGCAGCCTTTGTAGTGCAGTTCTAAAGCAGTTATAACTAGAGTATGATGAAACCTACCAATTTTCAAATCAATTACTGCAGCTGTTCCCAAGATAATGGTAGCTTAAATTTTGCTAATAAAAAGGTTGTCTGCCATGTGTTATGGTTTATTCAGGAACACCCCTTTGCCAAGTGTATTGCTAGGTGTTGTTAGGTGTATTTTTAGCAGACTGATACAAGCCTGGAGATACAGTTAAAAGGCTAGACAGTCCTTGAGCAAGAGAAGTTCAAGCAGTTCATAACTGATATGGATGAGGATGAGGAAAATAGTGGTAGCAACCTGTATGGAGTAGGTTTGGTTCTTCAGGAAATCTGCCAGAGGGAAAGATTCAATTTGCTTGGTGCAAAAATAAATTAAATTGAACTGCATTTTGTTTGGAGCCACAAAATGGTTCAGCTATCTTGGTGAGGGTATAATAAAAATATAAAATAAACCATGTTAGAATGGATTGGCCCAAAATGTTTTAAAGAGTGAGATGTATACTACACTGCTATATACTGTAGTTATATAGTATATAGTACAGTATATAGTATATAGTTATGTAGTATAATGAAACAATGAAAAAGAAATTTCAGTCAGGTAACGATACTGATTTCTACAGGAACTCCATGTAATTTCATATACACAAGTACATCAGTAGTATGCACGTATGATATTATATGATTTATTTTGGCAATTCAATAACAAAGACATA